TTTTGCGCTCGGAATAGCTCCGCCCTACGTCGCACCACTCTCCTCTCACAAAGCGTCATCAGCTCCGCCAAGAACTACAACAAGAGGCGTTTGCCGTTGCTCGTGCAGGTCCGCGGCACCACGCCACTCGCATCACATTTGCATCTCCCTTCTTTGGCGCCAGCACGTCTTACCATTCCTTGTTCACGTCTGCCGTAGAACACGAACGCCTTGCAGCCTCTCACGCCCGCCACCAACGCCTGCTTCAAGGCCAAGACCTGGATGACATTGAGGAGCCCCAGGCGGATACCTCAGCATCGCCGGTCGAGGTTAACCTTTGGACCGACGAATTCAGCCCCCGGCACTACATCGGTACGCCTGCCCGCAACCACCAGACGCTTGCTCTCAGAGTCGGCAGCTTGACAAGGCAAGCTCAACACCGAGCGGGCCTGTCTGATCTTTGCACTTCCAGATTTGATCTCGGATGAGGAGACGAACACCTCACTTCTCCGGTGGCTCCGATCGTGGGATCCGGTGCGCTCTTTGACTTGCCAGCGCTTCTCGGTCTCTTCTCTCTATTCACCGCCGAGCCTTGTTCTCATGCTCACATTGCTGATCTAAACCTCGTGCTCGGCGTGAACCTTTGACAGGTGGTGTTTGGTACACCCGCACCTAAACCAAAGGTAAGCGTGCTTTTTACGAACAACGCATACAGTGACCTAAGACCAATTGTCGTGGGTTTGCTTCGCACCTCCTCACTTCACTTTTTTTTTTTTTTTTTTTTTTTTTTTTTTTTTTTTTTTTTTTTTTTTTTGAATCGCGTGCCACTTTCCTCCAACTTCTAGCAACCCAGTACGCAAAACTCCTTCGGCTCCCAGCGACCAGACAACTTTGGCTCCAAGGTCCATCAATACCAGCTTTTGCATCATCATTAACCTTCTCCTATTGCTTTTGAGGTGTTCTGTCCTGCTATTTATGCCTTTTTTGGCGCTCACATAACTTGATTCTTGCAAACTAGGTGGTTCTCCTGGCTGGTCCGCCTGGTGTCGGCAAGGTGAGTCTTCTTGATTTGAGCTGAGGTGGTTTATATGACCAGGCGATGAACGAATTCCTGAACAAAAACAGCCTCAAGCATTACATCGTCCACTGACCTTCATCTGAACCTTGACCATCCCATGATCTCCTTTTCTAGACCACATTAGCGCATGTGGTTGCACGCCATGCCGGCTACAGTAGCGTGGAAATCAACGCCAGCGATGACCGCTCACCGGCGGCCCTCAAGGAACGTGTCATCAATGCCACCCAGATGCAAGAAGTCATTGGACGAGATCGTCGGCCCAACTGCCTTGTGCTTGATGAGATTGACGGCGCCTCCAAGGGTGCCATCAATGCCCTTATCAAAATTGTCCAGGCCACCGGTAGGCGCACATGCTCTCATCTGGGCTTGCTTCATTCCGTGGCTTGGCCGTCCAGATGTTGCCTTGCGCACCAGTGTTCCTCATTGCTTGTCATGACTAAATGTGCATGCGCAGGAAAAGGCGGGGGCAAGCGCAAGGGCGCTCTGCCAGCTCTACGCCGACCAATCATTTGCATTTGCAATGACCTGCAGGCCCCGGCTTTGCGCCCGCTCCGGCAGATTGCCCTGCAAATCAACTTTGCTCCTATCGAGAACAATGCTCTCATTGGCCGCCTGCTCACAATATGTGAGCGAAAGGGTGTTCGAGTTGGTGCGTTACTTTTTCTCAGGCGCTCACTATGTTTTGCCGCCGTCAAACACCCTGTTTGGGCCTGCCAGGCCCCTCCATGCCAGCAAACTCCTCACCCCAAGCGTGGCTTGTTTGGATTGTTTGGATTTGTCAGAGCGCAACGCCGTGACACACCTGGTCGAAGCGACCGAGGGAGACGTTCGCTCTTGCATCACCACCCTGCAGTTTCTCTCACGGAGGATTGCCACGGATGCCACCGGGCGCATTACCTTGCAATCCGTGCGCGGGGCGGCCGTGGGCCGAAAAGACAAGGTTTGTCATTGATCATGAAGTGGTTCATTTGCCCGCTCCGTGCTCATGGCAGTAACTGCTTGGCTGCCCGATGCTCAAGGTTATGGATGTCAAATCCGTGTGGACCAAGCTGTTCAACCGCAGCCGCCGTCGAGCTCTGCGAACCGGTGCGTGGATCGAGAAGGCCAGGAACGTATGCACAGACCTCATCGACTCATCTGCACTTGGCCTGCTTCATCTGCAGCATCTGCCCCGGCTGTGCCAGACTCGATGGAGCTGCGTCCGCTGATCGAGGGCAACGGTGAATATGAAAAGCTGATTGACGGTGCCTTTGAAAACTACCTTCTGGTCAAGGGCCAACTTGCCTTCGACCCAAACTTCAACAAGGTACGCATGGGATTGAGAGTGATGTACTCGGTGCACCACCCAGCTTACTCACTGTGTGCCAATCACTTTTAATTCTTGCTCGGCGCTTGGGGTATAGGCATCAGCAGTGCTAGACTGGCTTGTGGTTCACAGTGAACTGCAGCTACACTTGGCTCGTGAGCAAGACTATAGCCTCTTGCGCTACAGCTCTTACCCATTGCTCGCTTTCCATTACCACTATGCCACTCACGGTAAAGGCTCTTGAGCACCAAAGCAACGCGCCACACTTTCGGCTGGTGCAACAGGCTCGGTGCCAAGCTTGACTTGTGTTCTTTCGTGTGCTGCCATGTTTTCCATGCAGATGTGCACCACGTCAAGTGGCCGCGTACACCGTGGGAGTTTGCCCAGCAATGCAAAAACAACCAAGCCGTACTAGCAGCGGTGCTGGAGGTGGGTGTTGTGCTTGACTCCCCCCTTGGGCACGCGGGCGTCGGGATTTGCTTATACATCGATCTAATTGATGTGTCTGTGTCTGTGTCTGGGTACGCGGGACATCTCTAGGACGGCCAAAGCATGTTGAAGCGATATTACTCGCGCCGCGAGTTGAGCACCACCTTGCTTCATCCGCTCAACGCGCTCATTCAACCCCCTGTGCGCCCCGTCACTGCTGCCTTGCTAAGGTCTGTTGTACTTCACCTGGTCTCCAATCTCCTCTAAATGAGAAGGCACTGCACGAGGAAATTGCTCATCTCGTGCTGTTTTTGGTACATTCCCTTAGTGCTGCGGAAAAGGTGGCGATTGCTCGCATTGTGAATGTTATGCTCGACTATAATCTCACGTACAAGCAGATGAAGACCCAGAAGGTGAGCTGCCCGTGGCTATGATTCAACTAGAACGTCCACGAACCTCATCAGCACATGCCACACACCTTCTGCTGCAGGGCAAGTACGTCTACGAACTTGAGCCAGCCATTGACCAAGTGGCCATCTTCAACGAGCCCTCCAAGTTTGCTGGAGGCATTGTACAGTTTCAAAATCACGACGAGCCCATGCCCATGCAACAAGAATCGTCGGTGGCGTATGCTGTCAAACAGGTTAGTACCTCATGAGCCTGCGCCTCCCCTTCGCACTGAAGCCCATACCGTCTGCTTACGCCTGTGCATGGGTGTGGCCAGCTTATTGCTCAAGAACTTAGCAAGGAGCGCATTCGTCGCGGCTCGGACATTTTGGGCCGACCTCTTAGCCAACCCGCTCCATCCTCGCGCATCAACAAAGGTGAGCTCACATGTTAGCATGACAGACGACTTTTGATTTCAGATCATGTTCCCGCGCTCGTTCTAATGTGCCAACTCTCACATATACGCTGCATGGTTGCTCATTTTAGTTGGAGCCAGTCCAGCCAAATCAAGCAAACAGGACGATGCGCGCATCAATCGCAAGGATCATTCGGTGGGCCTTTTTTTTGCGGGAAGCAGTCGTGAGAGAATGGGGTTAACCGTCTGCCCATTCCTTGTTCAGATTGACTCATCTTGACAATGTTATCTGAATTGCGTTGCCACCATGCTTTTCCTATCTATAGAAGCATTCACATAGCGAAGAAGAAAAACGTGCTTTTATGCAAGCGCGCATGGGCTTGGCTCAAGACACCAACATTAAAGTCAAGGTTCGATACCACGCGCTTTGATTCTTCAAAAATAGGAGCTTTTCCCAGCCAGCTCACATCACATGGTTTGGTATTGCACGTTGGCCTACCCAATCTTAGGACCGACTGATGGTGAAACGTGACTTTTTCGGTCGCCCTTTGCCAAGCTCACAACCTACTCAAAGCCAAGAAGTGGCCAAACCGCACTCCGACGGCCGCCAGCCGCAATTTACCCGTCGCCGCACGAAGCAACCCCCTGTTCGCTACAAGTGGGTCTTGCCTGACATCAAGTATTGTGGCCTGTTTTAACATGCCACTTCCTACCCATCCCGTTCTCATTTTTTTTTCTTGACTCGGTTTCCTTGACCTGCTCCTTTTTGACATGCAGATTCCATGAAGGCTGCAGCAATGCAGTGCGCCGCATCCCAACCTTAGCCGACTTTGTATGATTTGAAGCAGTGATAATTCAGCATGTCTTCTTCTCTTGTGTGGCGTCCTTACAATGCCGCGTCCGCGCCCATGTCACCTCGCATCCCAATCAATCTCTTCGGCTATTCAACGCCATCCATCGAGTCTTTCCAAATTTTGACAGATCCAACAATCAAGGCGGACAACCATCATTATAGTATCACAATCCATGTAGTTGTCGATTTCAAACAAGAATAAGATGTATCCTGTCAATGGACATGTTAAGATATTAATAATGTAGTTCCACACTATCCGCTGGCCAGCGCTCGTCGCCACCGCCACACACTTTGAAACGTTCGCACAAACGTCAGGAGGCAGCCATGACTTGACTGAAGACTGGATACCCCAGAGGCGGCTCGGCGCTTTGCAAAGTCAAATTACGCAAGAGGCTACGATGTGCTTGAATGCTGTAACGTTCCTCGTCATCATTGGTCAAAAAGAGAAGCTCAAGGGCCATGTTAGCCCACTGCCCGCGAACAGCTTCAGCATTGAGGCGGACGGCTCGGACACGAACGTGACCAGACGTCACAAGGTGACTTTGTACCACCTGCTCTTCAATCGCGAGTGCAAAAAGTTGTTGCTTTCGTTCACGGATGGCTCGATACCATAGGGCATCCTCACTGCGGCCCAGGTGTACATCTCTGTCCAAAGCACGTAAATCTGCGGCCAATTCCTCAAGATCCTGCACCGTCTCGTCACCCACTACAGCCAGATCCAGAGCCAGTTTGATTGCCAGCCGACTTGCTCGCACCACGAGCTGCTTCACTTTGCTTGGTAATTTGGCCCGGTTTACACTGTGCGGCAAGGCGCCGTTGTACAAACCCACCAGACCTTGTGGCGTCAACGGCTACAAGTGCACAATTCGATGGAGGTGAGAGGCCGAAACGGAGGAAGCAACGGGAATGCGGCCACGTGCGCTCTTGCCTAACCCACCGTTTCAGAAAATGTCAATTGTAGCACGTGCTCTGTTACTGTAACCACAGTCTCGTGCCAGCTCGATGCCTCGGCCTGCTGCAAATCATCAAATGAGGCGTTGATCAAGGATTCACAAAAGCCCAAGGTTGGAAGCCAACACCTTGTTTCACACAATCGCACGTACCAAACTTGAAGAAAGGTCAGTAGCCTGGTTATCACTCGAGAGCCGCAGCCACCTGTCGAAGCAATTTTCGACAAACAAAATAGATCATATGAGACTGCCACGGCAATTTCGGACCAGTCGATGGAAAAAAAAAAAAAAAAAAAAAAAAAAAACGCACTCGCGTAAACGGTCAGGAGCACCGGTTGTGTGTGCTGCAAAGAGATTGACCGAGGTGGCCAAGCTGCGTCGTTCCTCGGGTTCCAGTGTTTCGCGAAGCAGACAATGCGACAGGGCATAGCAAAAGCATTCTTGAAACAAGACGGCGTACGCCGGCGAGTCGACAATGCCCGTAAGCTGGTTGCGCGTGTCCGCATACGTGCGCAATGGGGAGGCCCACACGGGGGAAAAGCTGTCGTCGGCATACTAGGTCATGTTGAGAGGCAGATGCGTTGTCGAGTACAAGCGTGAGGGACGGGATTGTTCACATTTTTGGTAGACTGAGACGGCTTACCTTCCACATGCCCAGCCCGCGCTTTTTTTCTGGCAAGACGTAATCCAAGACCTCCTCCAAATGAGTCGCTTCGGTCGTGTGGCATGATGTTTCTGTCAGTTCCAAACCTGTCGACAAACGCCGGCAGAGTGGCCGAAAGAAAATGATATTGTTGCAAATGCGCTGTCCAGGCGCCCGCCTCTCAAACAAGGACGTAAATGATGGCTCGGCGGATCTGTGGGCGACACCATACCTTGAACAAGGAAGACGGCATGAAAAAGGCCAGCCTCGAGGAGGTGCACCATCATCATACGGTTCTCGAAGCGTAGCAAAAGCACTTCGCCCATGCGACAATGACCGAGAGCACCTCTTCGGTATGCCTGTCACCCCACAGAAAGTTTTGGAAGAAACAGCTTAATCAGTAATGTCGGAACGATTCGGAGGGAGGGTGAGGGAGAACTACCAGCCCAGTCCCGCATATATTGACAAGCTCCTACCGTGATGAGCGCATCGGCGACTGTTGAACAGATTTCGCTATAGTACACGGCTTCCTGGGCATCACTCTGCCCACCCACGTGCTGCCAGAAACGACGAGATCGAGGACTGGCGAGTACGAAGAATGGAAGTCCAAAAAGGGGCATGACCGAGGCATCCAAAAGAGCAGCAAGACCGGCAAGGCCAAGGTTGAGCGGCAACGCAATCACGTTCCAAGCAATAAGCACCGGGGACTGGCGCAGTCGCATGGGTTTGATGCGCCAGTGCGTGACGGTTGTGACGGCCATGAAGCGGACCAGATCCACAAATTTGAGCACTCGGTCCAAAAGAAGAGACACCAGCAGGAGCTGAACCGGGTAGGCGAGCGCCACCAAGGGACCCCACGCCGCATAACGATCTACAAAAAGCACAATAATGACCTGTGGATGTGATGTAACAAAGCAGTCACTCATGAGCTGATCGGCACCACCCTTAAAAATTAACAGCAAGAGCAAGGCCATTCCGTAGGACAGCAGATTCAAGCCATACCGTCCAAAGCTCGTGCAGGGGTCGAGATAGAGCACCTCTGCGGGCGATTGGGAAACAATGAATCAAAATCAAAACACAAGAAGAGTAGGCGAAGCACAGACCATGACAGCCGAACGGTCACGCTTAAAGCACAAGCTACGCACTGTTGGCCGCGCAGGAGACCGAGTGCCACCCAAAATTGATCTGGAACGCGTCGCCCGTCGCGGGAAAATATGCTCAAGGTGCTCAAAGCAAGCAAAGCAGCAGTTATGCGCTGTTGTTCAGTACCACCAGCACGGACAGGTAAGATACAGACGACGAGGAAATTTTGGTGTCTTGACGCGAGCCTGTGAAAACCAAAAGATACTTACCAGCAACTGGAACAATCGACCAAGCCATGGCATGCGCTCTAAACGAGACGATGTGCCCGTCAGAAACACGATCAAAACCATGAGTGGGAGCAGCTACGTCAAGGGGTACACGTGTGTGTGCTCTGTGCTGGACAAGAGGCCTACCTTTGTATATGGGGTTGGCAAGCCAACCCAAGACGAGCGGCTGTTGTGCGGCAGCTAGAAGGCTGGCAAGGACGCAGACGACAAGACCGACAAGAGCAAAAGCTAGCCGAAGGTTGTCCCACGCTGCAGAGGACTGGGCCAGGTCGGCATGAGCCAAACTAATGGCAAGAGCCAAAGCCACGAGCCACACGACGACACGCCCCAGCAAGAAAGCAGGCGCTGCAAGGGGAGCTGAAGCTGGTGCGTGCGCCTGCTCGTCGCCAAAAGGTATGGCAGTGTCGCCACTGGAAGGTTTGACGCGCTGGTGTTGAGGCCGGATGGCGTGCAGGCATGCGCGCCACATGCGTGCATCAATGGCGAGGGCCAGAGCTGGGAAGATGGACCAAGTCAGGGCATCGGCAACATTGGGCCCACTCTCATTGGCACCCATGATGGCAAACCCAACGAGGGCACTGCTGACACCCGCGAGCACGCGCCAGAGAGACCGAGATGCCGACACATGCGAAGCGCCACCCAGAGCATAGACGTCGACCTGTTCGAGACACCACAAGCCCAAGTCTGAGGCCAAGGGAAAGATGCCCCACCACCAGATGAGCGGCAGGACAATAAAGAGAACGAGCACGCCAAACGCCGCATCGCTAGCCCACTGAGCACTGGCATCCACCGCAGCCAAGGCAATAAGGGTCACGGCGAGGATTGAAGCATGCAGGGCGCGTGATGTGATGTCAATATTGAGGAGCCCTTGCGTTGGCCGCGTCTGGTTGCACGCGGGAACGTCTCCCACCAGCAGGCCCAAATGAGCCAATCCAACAACGAGCCCACAGAGGAAGCAGACGACTACACGATTCAGCACCATGCTGGCAAGCCACGTTGGCAGGTAAGCACGACGCGGCAACGCAGGTCTCTGAAAATGCTGAGGCGGAGAAGATACGCAGGCGAAGGCGGTGGTGTGCCGACCCCACGAGGGAAGAGCAGGCCACACCTGAATACAAAGTCCAGCCGGCTCGGAGCCAGAGCTGCCACACCCAACGCATGCAAGATGGCCATGGCCAGGGAGCGCAATGCCAGGTTGGGCCAGCTGGCATGAGGCATGACGTAGAGCCAAGAAACGAGCCCACAGCCCTCGGCCTCGCAATCATCCTCTTCATGATTGGGCTGACTGCACATCAGACGACATCACTCGGTCAATGAGATCAAAGTCGGAAAAAAAAGCAAAAGCACAACAAGACTCCAAGCAAAATTCCAGCCCGCCTCGCAGGGAAGAGTCAAATGGACGAAACAGTGTGAACATACAAATCATCGGGACGCAGGTGGTGGCTCTCGCGGCTCGAGTGGATGACGGCATATGTTGCCACCAAGAACAGGCCTGCAAGAAGTCCTGCAGTTGGAGCTGCCGCGGTCATGGGAAAGGAGCCACCTTCGTAGAACCCGATGACGGCACCTGGACGCGATAAGGAACCCCATGGGGAGAGAGGAGAAGGCAGGGATGTAAGGGAAGCGAGTGTGGCAGGGCGACCAAGTTTGGCCAGGACAAGCAAGCACGTGCAACACTTTGAGCCCGGACGCACCGCTCAGCACCAGCGGGATCAGGTACAGAAGCAGCTAAGGGAGGACGGGCGTAAGACCAGCATGCGCAAAAGCAGCGCAGAGAGGACAAGTTGCTCCAGGGACGAAACAAACCTGAATGAGATGCAAACTCGCCGGAGCCCGGGCAAGCATGCGCCAGCCGCCGCAAAGGCTCGAGGCCAGCTGCCGCCGTACAAAGGCATATTTGTACTCGTTGATGAGTGGAGCCCCAGCAATGCTGCGACAAGCCGGAGGAGAGAAAGGGATATGAGCAGGATGATCCAGCCGCTTCCGACAGCTCAGCAAAGAAGGCCGGCAGACACCCCAACAGCAGCAACTCACGAGTGCTCGGCCACGATTCGCCGCTCCAGCTGGTCGAGGATATCGAGATTCGGCATCGTGCACGCTCACTCTCATGCACGCAGCGCTCCAAGGAAACGACCAAGCGCGCCTGTGCGAGCGAGCAGGCTCGTGTGCGCTGCAAGAACAATGAACCTGGAACTCGACCAAGCGCAGGATCCACACCCAAAGGTGGCGAATGCTGCTGTCATTCACCAGTCGTTTGATCGACGTTGGCAAAGCCAAGCTAGCGCACACACACGTGACCGCCGTCGCCTGCTATCGCGCCGCCGCTTCACACCATCTGTCTTCCCTTTCAAAAAAGTTAAAAATTGTGTGTGGGTGTGTGATGTGGTGCGTTGGTGGGTATACCATCAATCGCCTTCATGTGTGACCCCGACAAAGCCGTGGCATAGGCTTTACCTGCGCTCATGTGTGACGATTTGTTTGTACGTGTGTGACTGAGTGCCTTCACGTGTGTGACGCTGGGGGCGTGTTGTTCAATTGTGCTGACAAATAGACTTCGTCGCCAAAGGAAAGGTGTTGTTAACATGTGTTGTGAGTTTCGGGGCTAGAGCGGACAACCGGACGAGATGAGAGAGAAGAAGCGGCATGTCGCAGGCCCCACAGATCTCACAGGGCACAGAGAAGCAGGTGGTGTTGTGGGCGCGGACACGGTCCAGCTTGCACGCACGACCTGGGGAATGGCTGGGAGACATCATGGTGCAAGACGCTGGCGGTTGCAAAAGGAACTGACAATTTGCTTCGTGGTGGCACCAAAGAATTGGTGCCGCGTCCAAACCATTTCGAGCAAGCAAGCAGGCATCTTGTCGCCAGATCCGGTTCGTCTTTGAACGTTGTCGCGGCAGCCAGTTGACGTCTTCTTGCAATCGTTTTGGCAGTCTGGCACACGCGTGCTTGTCGCTGACCAAGGATTATTCCCGTTTTCGCACACGCTCGCTCGCAGGGATCATGCTGCAGTCATTCCTTGGATTAAAAGGTGCCCCCGAGTTGGTGGCAGTCACCTTGGCTCTACCTGACGGTGCCGCCGTCACCGTCGAGGTGCGTGCCCCTCTGTGTGCGCAAGCCCATCACTTCGACATCTGCCGATCCCCCGCTGATCTTGTCATGCTACGGCAGGTCTCGAAGAATGCAACCATCAGTGATGTCCTTCCGTTGCTGGATCGGGAGGTCCAACTTCCAGAGCGTCTCTTTTTTGGTCTCCTGGCCCCCAAGGATACGGTGCGTGGTCTTCCACCTCCAACCCTGCTTGGCGGCCTTTTTGGCATCCATTATTCACACGCATATTGGCATCGGGCAGGAGAAGCATTTCCTTGACCCCAATGACAGTCTGCGCAAGGTCCTGGGCCAACCGGTTGCTGAAGTAGAGGTATCAAGTTTGCTGTGGCCCGCCTCGGCAATTAGATGCCGTCTCACCTGACTGCGGCCCCCCGTCCCATCCTATTTATTCATCAACATGTTTGCTTTTGCACAGACCACAACAGGACGTCTGGGTCGAAAGCATTGGCGCTTGCAGTTGCAGCTGCGCTATCATCCTCCAGCTGTGGTCATGCGCGAATGGTCACCCATGGGCAAGACCTGGCTGCTGCACTCCTTGCTTGCAGAGCTCCTCGCGGCTCGACTCCAAGTGATGCAGGACGTCGCCGTCTCGCTGGGCGCTCTGGCTGCTCAAGTTCTAGCAGGTGACTACGAGGAGAGTCGACATGCTGATGCCCAGTATCTTCGTTCCATGCGTGTGCAGCCCGATCAAGACGAGCGCCTTACTCGGTATGCACGGTGCAGCTCCACCCTGGGCCCTCCAAATCACTTTTTTTTTGCATCTTGGCGCAGCTGAACGTCTCATGCCCCCGTTGTTTGACCCTTGATGTGCTTCTTCTCTCTAGCGCCATTCAGCATCGCCACGCAAGCCATAGTGGCATGATCACCTCAGCCAACGCGCTGGATGAGTTTCTCAACCTGTGCTGCGAACAAGAACTTTACGGAGTCGGTCGTCTGTTTGAAACGGCCCCCACCCCTGACCGCGAGGTACCACCAACACCGTCCTTTTACCTTGCTCTTGAGGTTGCTTGATTCAGTTTTTGTGGTTGTTGTTTTGTCGGTTTTTTTTTTTTTTTTTTTTTTTTTGGGGGGGGGGGGGGTGGTGTTTTTGTTTTTTGTTTTTTGTTTTATTTTTTGAGAGCTGCCTGCTTGGCTCACAGATACGCCCTGGTTCATCTTATCAGATTCAGCAAGTCGGGTGCTCGGCGCGTGGTGTGCATGTCTATGCACATGATCAGCGCGTCGTCATATATGGCTGGTCCCGCATTCAGCGCATGCACTACCGCAGTAAAAACTTTGAAATCACTCTCAAGACGCCCCCGTCTGAGTTTGAACCAACCGACTTTTTCTTTGCCACGTCAGCCCTCTGCAAGGCTGTGTGGTCGCACTGCGTTGAGCGCCACGCTTTTTACCGCATACGCAACACCTCGCTGCGAGGTGACGTTCAAGGCGTTCCCATTGGCGCCACCATGTTTGAAGCTTCGCGGATTGCGCGCCGCAACTCAAAGATGCTGGAACAAGCCTCGCTCGACGAAGCCCGTCGCCGGTCCTCCAATTGGACGAGTTCAACCGGCTCCTTTGAATCGCACGTTTCACTTGATTCCCTGATCCGAGGGGCCGAGGGCGAAGCCATTCGCCGTGCCAGCGCGGCCCCTTCGAAGAATGTGGCCCGAACGCCCAGTTTTGCCGTGGCCATTGTGGCCTTTGAACCGCAGGGTGACCGAGTGCGTGCTGTCATCTGCGTTGCTCATGCATGCGGCTACCCCTCCGTCCTGCCTGCCACGATGGCCTGTCTGACCTTGTTTTGTCTTGCTTTTTGTCGTGGCATCGTGGCATAGGACCTTGCCTTTCGACCAGGCCAGGTTGTCCGACTGACCAAGACTGACGAGCATGATTGGTGGTGGGGTGCCATCGGTCCACAGTCCGGACGCTTCCCTAGTCGCTGTGTGACTAGGCTTGACCAAGATTTGTCTCGCCTTGTACGTCAGGCTGACTGACCAGAGAGAGCTCGCCCGATCTTGCCTTTTTCCATACGCACTCACCCAGCTCTGCATTTGACGCACCGTGCATAGGTCAAGGCCAAGCGAGATCATCAGGGAGAGATGAGTTTTCCCGCCGGGGCCATCCTGTCACTGGAGGAGACCTCACGTGACGTCCCGGCAGGCATGCTGTTTGGACGTTTTGGAAGTCGCACGGGCCTGTTCCCGCAGGACGTGGTTGCCAGCCTCGCACCAACGACCAAACCATTATCTCAACCGCTGACCCAGCAAGTTATCATTTAGGCTTGCTTTCATTTCATGTGTTGTCCTGGAGCTTATCACCGCGCGCTACATCCAAGTGCATGCATCATATCAACAGAAAGTAGGCGGTCGTTCCCCGGTGTGTCTAAATTGGTATTATGTAATGTGATTTGAGAAAACAAACAGATGCTAGCGTTCTATTTCAAACCAACCAACATCCGCATTCTGCAGTTCAAAGCCACCACCAGGAGGAAAAGAAAGGAGGAGAAAAAGAAAAACGAAAAGCAACCCAGGTACACGACAACAGGTTCATACATCTAAAAACCCATTGCAATGGCGGCCACGCTCAGCCAGCTCGCCATGACAAAAGCACACACGCATATCAACACACAAACATACACTTTAATGAACTCAAATCCTGAAAAAGCTAAGGCCGGGGATCACTGGACCGTATCGTAGCCACTACGCTTGTGTGAGGAGCCATAACGCAAGTAGGCGAAAAAGCCAAGGAGAACAACGAAAAGACCACCCATGACACCGCCTGCTACGGCCCCAGCGTAGCGTTTGGAGCTGTGCTTGTTCGAGGCGGGAACGCACTCTGGCACTTGTGAATGGGGCACAAACTGTAGAGTACCACCCTGTGGTGGATGCTCGCAGGACGAGGCCGTCCCGGTGATGTGCTCAGTGCAATTTTGACATGCCCCGCCCACCAGTTGACAGTGGCGCTTCAAGACATAGGTGCCAGCTGTACCAATGTAGCTCAACTGGTATGCAGAGCCATCAGAGGATTTTCTGCACGTGTCATCGGGTGAGCCGAGATTGGTGATGTTGCTGTTGGATGCCGAGCTGCAGGTGTTGGAGGTTGGGAAATTGACCGCGAACACGCTTGAGAGGTCGGATTGTGTCTGATTGGTAGCGGGCGAGGCACAGATCTGACTGGAGTTGGTGAAGAGGAAAGAAAGCTGCTCGCCCGTGCTGATAGGGATGCAGGTTTTGTAGTTGACGTTGCTCTCGTCCAGGTCGCAATTGTTGCAATGATGATCAACGCAGTAGAAGCGAGCGATGACCAGTCTTTGGTGGGCGGGGTCCAAAGCCAGCTGATAGTAATGGCCAGTCGCGCTGAGTCGGCACGAGGTGTTGGTTTCCGCCACACTAGCCACGATCGCGGCTTGATCCAGCCCCACGCCAATGCTACAATCACGACTTGGAAAGATGTGCACGTAAGCCTGTCGACGAGCAGGGTCTGGCTTTGGTGTTGGTGCCACCGTCGTCGTCGTTGTCACATCCGGGGTTGTCGTCGTCACATTCGGGCTTGTCGTCGTCACATTGTTGTGCGCTGTGGTGGTCGTCGTTGCCTCTGAGGTTGTCGTCGTTGCCTCTGAGGTTGTCGTTTGGCCCGTCGAGGTAGCCGTTGTACCATTCTCGTGCCCTGTGGTCGTGGTCGTCGCCACTGTCGTCGTCGTGTTCGGTTCAACCGTGCTGATCGTCACCGTGGCGGTGGTTGACGTTGACACGTTTGAAGAAGCCGCCACGGCCGCCCCCGTGGGCTCGATCTTTCCAACCGCTAACCCAGCAGCCGAAGCAAGCACACCATACAGCATGAGCGCCACCCATATCCAACGAGTCGACCATCTCGTCCTGCTTGCCACTGCCATCGTGCCGGTGTTCAATGTGATTCGAGCGTGCCGCGTATTGCAAATTGGCTGGCCTTGCAGAGAGCTGCTCAAAAATGACTGCAACCTGAAGAGATTTGTCCAGAAGGGAAGCTGAAGTCAGAGATGCTTTTAAAGTCGTAGCTTTTTCCTTAGTAAAACTGTAGGCTGAAGCAGAGATGTGAACGAGACATCCCTTTCCATCAGAGACACCTTTAAACCCATGGTTGTCGGTCAGAGATCTTGCAGGAGAACCTCTTCTTCAAATACCACAACAACACGACACGAATGTCAGATGAAATAATTGGTTATCGTCACTGTTTTACTTCACCGCCCTCCTGGCGACGACAGGACCAGCTCGGCGCAGTCAGCGCAGCTCGGCCCTTATCGGCTCAGCTCGGCTCGGATCGGATTGTTTGGGCTTTGAAATCAGCCCAATCTCGGCAAGCTGTTGAACCAGCAACGCATCGACCACGTATGTACTACACACATAAATTTTCCTGCCTTTTTTTTTATTTGCATGATCGGAATGATGATGCTGAGGTTTGTTGCTCACCGCCGACGCCGCATGGATGGGTAGCTGCACGCAATATGCCCAAGCGGTAGGAGACGTTCACCAGCATTACAGGCTAGAGCTGGATGATTGGAGCCCCTTCAGCAAGAGAAGCATCCCTCATCAAGCCTGACCCGGTCATTATTTATGACGTGATTCTCCCCATCACGGCCATGGCTTCTTCCCTGCGAGACCGGTCTGTGCCATGTCGCTGCTCGATTGCATGAAAATTACGGCACGCTTCCTTGGGCCTTACGGATATGCATCCCTCTAGCTGTGCACTTGCGCTGGACAATATTGGTCAGGAACTGGCAACGCTGCAGCGCGAAAATGGCGAGCTCGACCATCGACTCAGGGAACTCGAAGATGCCCTTCAAACCTTGCCCGTCTCTGCTCTCTTAGATCCCAAAGAGGTACGACTTGAGCCTGTGTGCGTGTGTGTGCGTGCGTGTGTGTTTTTTATGGTTTTTTTTTTTATTTTTTCTCGCTTTCCAGTCGTTGTTGCTAAACTCAAGCCGTAACGCTGATGCACACCTCAATGCGTCTGGGCCTCCAACCGTTTGCTGCTGATATTTGGCGTGCAGGTGTATGCGTTGACCAAAGAAGAGCTAGTACAGGCTCACTTGCGCCTGCGCCAGCGCCGGCGACTCGAAGAGCTGGCCAACGCCGAACTGCAGACGCGACTCACCCACGCCCAAAACATGCTCATCGAGCAGAACGAGGCAGAGAAGCGCCTGCTCGAGCTGCAGCATGCCCACCTGGCCCAGCAACAGTTCCAGGCATCCGTCTTGACAAGCATTGAAGAAGGGAGCATCTACAAGCAAGCTTGTCGCATGCAGGAAAAGGCAATTGAGAGCCTTGAAACCCTGTTAGATCGCCTTCGTGCGGTAAGTGCCGTCATTTTGGTCTCTTTGTCCCACCGGGCACCAGGTCGAGTTGTGTCTTGTTGTGGGTGATTCTTGTTTCGCATTCAATTTTGCATGTTGGTGGTGTTGGTTTCCTTGACCTTTTGAACGTCTGATGGCACGACATACAACGTAGGATATGGCCTTGCGACTGCAATCTGATGTTCCAAGTCCGCTCTTTGAGCGTCTCGAAGAAGAGTTGGCCAAAGTGGAGCGCGTTGTGCGAGTAACCGCACCAGCAACAGGGTCTTCACCTAGTTCAGCTGAATCAAAGCTCAAGCTCAACGCACAGGAAGAGCTGCAGGGCCGTACCCAAGAGATGCATCGACTGCAGCAGGAACACCGTGCCCTCCAACAATCCTTACAAGTGCTCTATGAGCAGGCGGACAGCGGCCAGGACCCTGCAGAACAAGTGCTCCGGTTGCAGTCCGAGGTAGCCGCTCTCGAGTCTGAGCTTACGGCAATGGCCCAACAATTTGCAGACGAGGAGCTGGAACTCGAGATTCAGTTGATGGAGGCCCAACTTGAAAGTGAGGCCTCGGCCATCGACATATCATCTCTCCCCACGACTGAGGCCCACGCCCATCTAGCGCTGGGAGCGGCCGCCCCTTGGCTGGAGCAACCTGCGCCTCGAAAACCCTCCCTTTCAAAACCAGGTATGACTGCTGTGTGCATATTCAAGGCCCGGACTCCGTCAAAAAGAGGCGTAAAAACCATGAGCATCAATCGGCGCTATGTCATTGCCCAAGCCTGAATCTTTGGCGCTCACCTGCCTCACTAAAACCCATGGCATTATTGTCTGCGCTCCATAGTGTCACCCCGTCACGAGCGCACGGGTGCCGCTCGTCGGCCCACCTCGGGCGTTCGCCTTCAACCCTTATAGACGAGTGGCACAAGCAGCTCGCTACATTCATTCCATTCACCTGCCAGGCCAAGCCGAGGTGCTTGAGTCATTCACGACTTGCAATGCATTTCCATCTTACACCGTAACCTGTCTCCGAGTCCCACCTCCCATAGAGACTTGCTCTTCTTGACATGCATCTGAAGAAATATTATCATAATCGGATATGATCCAGCGCGACGTCATGATTCTTTGGTCCTTCAAACACTCTCTAACTCTCTCTCTCTCAAACTCTTTCTCTCTCAACTAACTCCTCTCTCTCCCAAACTTTCTCTTTCTCTCTCTTTCTCACTCTCAAACTCGCTTACATTCTCTCTCTCAAAAACCTCTCTCTCAAACTTTCTCTCTCAAACTCTCTCTCTCTCAAACTCTCTCTTTCTCTCTCTCTCTCTCTCTCAAACTCTCATTTCATTTCGTTGTGTGCCTGGTTGTGCCCTGCTACATTTGCAAAAGGACGGGGACGGCTCTTTTGCGCCGACTGGCCGATTAGCCCGCCACTGAGCGTAGCTGGCTAAACTGGAACGATTTGACCTTGGATGGCAGGTTGGAGAGTATATCCAAGCAAGCCTTTTGCACTGGTGCCAAGAGGTGCAGCTTGCTCGTGGTGTTGTTTCGTTGTTTTCAACGCGCTGGAACGAACCCAACTCTTCGTGTGAGGGCGTGATCTTCGAGCACACGTCCACAGCCCCCGTGCTGGTGCCCGTGCTTGTGCCTCTGACGAGGTCTTGATGCCTTCTATGCAAGCCTCGACTTGTTTGTTTGTTGGACTAGCACCCGCTTAGTCTTGCCCGTTGCCCTCTTTCCCTCTCCTCGATAACTCCCTTCTTTCACGCATGTGTGCTGCCCTCTTCTTCTTCTTGTCGCCCAATGTTGTAGCTGACACATCCTGGCACATCCTATTCGACGCATCATGTCGTGAACCGACCCGTGCCTTTCCACGCCCTGGCCTCTGTCTAAACGCAACACCAAAGATTTTTTTCAACGTTTTTTTTGGCTGGCGTGTCTGCTGACGATCCCATAACATTACTCGTCGAGATGCCGAAGATGTCCGAGCTCATCTTATTTTACATCACGTTTGCCACTTGCTGGGCCCTTGGTTCGTGCGCTGGCCGTCTTCGTCGTCCTCTCCATCAAAAACATGACTAGGTCAGCTGAGACTTGCCAAACTGACTTCACCCTGCTCACCTCCTGCGATAGGCGCCAACGCGCCTTTCACGTCCACACCTCAGACGAGCCCAGACACTGCAGCATCCACACAGTCTACGAGCACGACCTCAAGCTCCACGCATGTTGCTCCCACCAGCTCTACAAGAATCATCACCGCCCCTGCCAACATTCGCGAAGCCTACCGCGTTCTTGACAACAGTGCAATTAACATGCGTGGTTCCTCCTACTACGTCAACTACAATACTGTCTCGGTACGAGTACCCTACGTATCTCATGCCTGCCATCAAGGCCAAGCCAAAAGATACCCAAAACCCCTTTCTCCCGTCAACCAAAAACATTCATGACAGACATCAACTGCGCCTCACTCGTCAGTACGGCCATGGTGGCGCCTGTGCGCTCTGCTGTAGGGCACCGTGGATGAATGCATGACGTCCTGCTTTGAGGACGACACATGCCTCTCTTTTGACTATGACAATTCAGATGGCGTCGGATGGATGCACCGGTTTGTGACCGCAAAGTTCAGTAAAACCTCATCTTTCTGGCACCTGGGCCAAGCCCTTCTGCCTCACATGCATGCGTTGCCTTCCTGTTAGAGTGCTCGCTCGTTGTGCCAGTGGGGCGGGCGCCTCGTTTCTGAATGGAACAAGCGATTCCACGCAGTTTTTTGAAAAACTTCCCGCATATTGGACAGGTATAGCTTTTGGCTTGCCGCACACCCCACACTCGCCATGCAAGTCGTGTTTGTTGAAACCATTGCCACAATGTTTGCCATGTCCAACCCGTCACTCCTGGACCTTCTCCCCGTCTTTGACAGATACGAATGCTTCGCAATGCGTTTTGCCGTCGGGAGGCTCTGCGGTCACAACCTCGACCTCCTCCTTGTCCGGCGCCGTCATTGTTCTGCTTACTCTTTTAGGCGCACTTTTAGGCTCCCTGTTGATTGCTGTTGTCTTGATTTTCGGTGCCGAAACGTGGCGCTCGCACCTTCGACGTCAAGCTCAGCAAGAGCGTCGCGCTCAACGGTAAGCATGCCTGCTGTTGGCCGCATGCTTGTAAGCCCAGACTTGTCGTCATATTCATGGCTGCTGTATTTAGGGCGCTTCAAGCAGGCGTGCTGCCGGCTGAACGCCGTCACAGGGCTGCAGATCCTGCTGCGGTTGCACAAGTGCAGATGCAACCGTTGGCGTGATGATCCCAGGGCTCACCTCATGGACTGTTTTCCCCAATCAATATCACCTTGCTCAGGCAGACGCTCTGAAGCATTTTCAAATGTGGTGGCCCATCACGCCATGGGCATTAAATTTTCCTCTCACCTGCCTTTTAACCTTTCTCCTTCTCGAGAGTGCCCGCTTTCATGATAATAATTATTGTTACTCTTTTCATCTGCCCGGGGTTCATTGCTGCGCCTCATTTCCGGCCATGGTCCCACTGACGCTTTTATCTTCTCCTTCAAAGTCGATACCAACTCCGCTTGATGAGTTTCACTCATGTTTGCATGTGACCCATGGAGCATGTGACCGGCGCCACAATCCCAACCAGGAAGATCGAATTACTTGTCTTGAGTTTTAAAGGGAGCATGGTAGGA